CTGGATGTTCCTGTGGAGAAATACCCAAGTGTGAGTAAAATTTTCTTTTGGGAAATACAGTTTGGTTATTTATCTTTATCCATATTGTTGTAAGATATAAAAAGTAACTTCTAACTTGAATTTGTGCAGTATAATTTTGTTGGCCGAATCTTGGGACCGCGTGGAAACTCTTTGAAAAGGGTTGAAGCCTTGACAGAATGTAGAATATATATTAGGGGTCATGGCTCAGTGAAGGATACTCTTGAGGTACCAATTCGTTTTACTTTTGGTTATATGCCATGGTTGTGAAAAGCATTGATGTTACTAAGTGTCTGTCAGCTGCTACAAACCAAATTGAGGAGGTAGATTGCAAATTCATGTAAACTGCTACACTGTTTTATCACTTTAAATATAAACATACGCATATGTCGGATGAAATGTTTCCCTATTAACCCTTGAAATTTCCCTTTGGACTTGTCACTTGTTTGATTAATGTTCTAGATATTATATTTTTCATCCAGCCTTCTAGAAGGAAAGATATCTTGAGTTATAGTTGGTCGCAAATAGCTCTTTTCAACTATTATCACCATGTCGATGTGTATCTCCCTTTGCATTTTTGTATGCTTTACATTTTAAATTATGGATGATCTCAGTTGGCCTTGAAAAAATATTTTCCACGGAAAATATTTTTATGCTTTCTTCTCAGAAACTGTAACTTGAAATTGTAATTGCACGTTATTTAAATTCAAATATGATACAAGGATAAGAACGTAGTTTGATGCAGGTCTATACTCAAACCATTTTCAATGGCATCACCAACCTTTACTGGTTGTGTTACCAACATGAATTTACTGTTTTCCAGCTGTGAGGCGAGAGGTTGAGCGAATGTTGGTCCTATCTTTTCAAATTTCTCACAACTGTGTCCTTTGTCTCCTTAGGAAGAGAAACTAAAAGACAAACCTGGAAATGAGCACCTATACGAGCCACTACACATCTTGGTGGAGGCTGAATTTCCTGAGGACATCATAGACGCCCGCTTGGATCATGCAGTAGCAGTACTTGAAAAACTGTTAAAACCTGTGGTATGGATTTGAACAGCTTTGCAGCCGTTTGATATCTGTAAACCCATCTTATTTATAGGCATCTTACTGTTTCTCCCTTTTTCCTTTCAGGATGAATCCATGGACGTTTACAAGAAGCAACAGCTGAGAGAGTTGGCTATGCTAAATGGTAGTCTACGGGAAGAAAGCCCTAGCATGAGCCCTAGTATGAGCCCAAGCATGTCTCCTTTTAATAGCAATAGCATGAAACGAGCTAAAACAGGAATATAACACTACACGATAACTAATGGCATCTCTTGTGATATCGAAGTTGCTGCTTGGAACTAACATTCTGATGATATGCGTAAAAGGTGCTCGCGACACCAATTCAGCCAAATTCGTTTGGGATGGATTAGAATGATTCCATGCTTTGCTTCCGCACATGATGTTGGGAACTGAGACAGAAAATGCTTCATTTCAAGTAGATTGAAGAAAATTTTGCTTTACTTTTGACAGTCTATATATATATATGTTTTTTTTTTCACGCACCACTGCCTTATTTAGATTGTTTTAAGCTTTATACTTTAGTTGCAATAATGCCATTCTTGTGCTCCGTTACTACTTTCTTCAAGAGCTAAATAGCCTATAACAAGTTATTTGGAGATTTCTATTTCCTGCATACAATTCTGGTAAACTTCATTCAGAAAACATGGTTCAATATTGATATATATTTGTCTTAACCTTTTATGTACTATGTTGCTATCTTTTGCTTTTTGTTGAAACTTGCTTTCTTGGTTCTTGCTAATATTCATACTTCTACACTAATAGATTCAGGTTTCTCGCGTCTCTTCATTTACTCAACTTCAAAAGTTACAAAACCCCTGGCTCGGGTTTTGGTTTTTGATGAGTTACTTTTATTTGCATATTGCTGCTGGTGGATTTAGCAGGAGGGATGTGTACAGAGTCATTGCTGAAAATTATGCAGATGTGGACGCATCTTCTTGGCTAATCCGGATTTGCCTAGCTCAATGCCACCTCTCAATTAGTACAACAGGAGTACATTCTACATTCCAGACCCTGTTGTTGGCTTTACAGATAATCCATTCCTTGAAGTCACCTCTTAAGATTGTAGTTGTTAGTAAACTACATAGATTCTTGTGCTCCAAACTTTACTGTATACCACAGGCTCATGGCCCAATCCCTTTTGTGCCTATGTATTATGCGTAGTTAGAAAATATGAGTTAGAAAATGTCTTGCCAAACCCATAGTAAAATCCCGATTTTACCAGATGCGAGATCTTGTGGTGGCATGTATGTATTGTTCTGTCTTTAGTCTTTATTAAGCCCTATTTGGTTAACTAAAAAGTTATTTTAGAATATAATTTAAAGTAAATAATTAATTTTAATCACATTTTTTTGGGATTCATTTTTTTTTAATCATATATTTCATTAATTTTTATTAAAATCTTTTAAAATTTGATTTTTACCTAAATCAAATAGAGGCTATGCTAAGAAGTCGATGAAATAACTATAATAACTTTCAGATAACAACAAAATAATGTTGATTTGGGAATTGTTTATAAACGTTATGAATTATAAATAGATATGAATGAATACTTGATTATTGGTGCAATATTAGTAGTTTTCATGACGTGTGAGGATAAGATTGGTTTGATTAATTATAAATTATTGATAAAAATTTGCCAAAGATTTCTATGCCCTTTAATTTCACAAGCAGATTTCATAAATTTAACCTTTTTTTTGATACCTATTATTTTTAAAATATATTTTTCTTTCTTTCATTTTTTGTCACATTTTTCAACAAAATAATATTATATTTAAATTCAGAATTTTTCTTATTTTTTAATCACACATTTTCCATCAAAATATCATTCTAAAATGCATTTTGGGTTCAAAAATGTGGCTCAAACCAACTCTGCTCGTTTGGCTGAATTTATATTTTTGTTTCAACTTCTTATAAAAGAGTTTTTCGACGAACCTACTTTAGATTAATTCTCTCTAAAAACTTTTCTAATCAGCAAAGCATTTTCAAAAAATTATCCAAACATATTCAAAAGACCCAATAAACGACCCGTTTTCTTCGTTTTTTGGTAGTTTTTGGATGACACCATTTATGAGAAGTTGAAAAAATCGGTGCTTGTGAATTTTTGCAATTTCTCATATTCTTTCTAATTTTACCGTCTATAAAAATAATTATTTACAACAAACATATTTGATTCAAAAACTAAATTGTAAATAAAAATACATTCAACTAATTTTATAAAGTAAAAATATCACTAGTAAGATAAAATTCACTTATAAAATATATAAAAATATATTTACAAGTAACAATTCACTTATGTGTAAAATTATTTAAAAGTACAAAGTTAATTTATAACTGCAAAATGTACTTACAAGCGAAAAAATATTAACTTAAAATTTTATTTATAAGTGTATATTTAAATTTTTAAAGTTCTAACTTTTCATATGAAAAAAATTACTTATAAATAAAATATCACTTATAAGTAAAACATTTCATACAATAAATTATAGTAGAAAATTTCACTAAGGGGCTCGTATATAATTTTATTATTTTAAAAAATTTGTAGAATTGATGAATAATAAACTCTCAAATATGGGTTGAATTGTTTTAAAAATCACTAGTAAAATCACACAAAACCAGTATTGCTCATGAACACTCAAAATATATACTTTAAAAAACGTCCATAACCGATATCCAAAACTCTCAAGTAGGTCCATAGTATTTGTTTGGGAGAAATTATTTGCAAAGAAAAATAATTTTTTGGAGGATATATTATTAAAAATAGAGAAAAATTATAAATTCATGTATAAAATATTTTATTAAAGAATAATTAATTAAAAATAATCTTAAAAAGAAAAGAATATTCAAATAAATCGGGTCAAACAAGAGCTTAGATACTCTATAGAAGAGTTTGGTGAGAAGGAATCGTTTATTATAATTTTCACTTTTGCTTTTGTCTACTTTAATTTTTGTTTGGAGGGACTGTTTATTTCAAAAAGTATTTTTTGAGAAAATCACATCCGATCATTTTTTTTTCTAAAAACTCTTTAAACCAAAAGCACTTTTGTAAAAGGGAGAAATTTGTAAATGAGGTGTTTAGTTTACACCAAGTCACATATTTCAAAATTAGTTGGTTACAAATCAAAGTTTATAGGTCACACAGTTATAGATTTCCAAATTAATTAGTCACAGATTATATAATTTTTAGGTCACAAATGAAAAAATGGTTGATCACAGATTATAGAATTTTGAGGTCACAGATTATATTTTTAGTCACAAAAAACCCAAATCACAAACACTCTTCATCCCGTCACCACTGCCACTGCCACAACCACCACCACCACCAACACAACATCACCACTATCAGCAGAGAGTTCTTGACAATAAAGAAAGCACGGAATATATAAGGATAATAGATTTTAAATGGTGCAACTGATAATCTAAGACAAAAATTATAGAATTTAATTGAATAAGGTGATTATTTTCCTTTACAGCTACCATAACTGTGAGTTGATTATTTTCCAAGATGACACACAAGATTGAAAGCTTCAAAGTGTTCTAATAACAAAGGCTATATGGAAATAAAAACAGAAAGAAAATGAAACAGAATTGAAATATCTAACGTTAAGGACCACTTCCATCTCCCTTAAATTCAATGATCTCTGTAGGGACTTCGAATGACACTGAAATTATTGCTTTTGATTTCAACATTTAGACAAACATCTGGAGTGCGCTGATGCCCCAGTCTATTCAAAGTATTCCAAAAACCTCAGTATTACAGATCGATGTCGTAACTTGGAAATCTCTAGAGGGTGAGATTAAAAACAAAGCAGAGAGTTCGGTACAGTGGAACTTCTAGCAGAGATTTTTTTCGTGTTGCAGGAGGAGCTTTGAGGGCAACTCCATCTAGATCGATGGAGAAACCTGGTCTAAAAGAAGATGGCCAGTTGTGCGTCGCCTAGAGCGGATCTGCAGCAGTTGTGTCTCGCCGACGAAGCTGCGATGACGTTTGCAATCAGATCGACGGCAAAGAGCGTGGAGAAATGAATAGGAGAGAGTGAAGAGGAGGGGAGGGGAGAGAGAGATGGCAGGGAGGCGAGGGGAGAGGAGGATCAAGAGAGAGAGATAGGTAATGAAGTTGAGAGTCAGCGACAAATTAGGGTTAGAGTTTTAATATATAGTACCTGATTTTTGAATAAATAAATTTTGGACCTGACTTTTAAAAAGTTATCTTTAAACCCCTAATTTTTTGTAATTTCCCCTAATTTTTTGTTGAAAAAAGGCCCATGGCATGGGTTTTGGCCACACAAGGACAGCGCGGCCCATGCCACCGAGGCATCTAGTCAACTTTCACACCACCAATCTCATGTTCAATAAATTGGTATTTAGTCACTGCAACTCTGGCAATATTTTTTTAAAGAGCTTTCTTAGAGTCAAAATATTGATTGTTTTTAGATTATTTTTTAAAAGACTCATTAGAAATGGTCAAATATACCTTTAATAGTAGACTGACAAAATTCTCTACTCAAACCTTGCATTCGAGTGGATCTAGTTGACACAAACAAATACTATGATTATATCTACATTTATTTTCTTCTCTATAACCACAAACGCGAAAAAATATCTAGAGGGGCAAACGGACCAAGTCGCCCGTGGACGACTAGAGCTCCTATTAAGACGAGCTATAAGCCAAGTCGAACTCAATTTTTTCCACTAGCCATAAGTCGGTCCATTTTTTAGCTTATTTTGTTACTTTCTTTGAAATAAAGAGAAATGAGCCGTCTCATGGACTCGTGAACGATTCGATCAGGCCCATGAGTCTAGCGAGGCAAACCTAGTTGTTGACATGAGTCAAGCTCGGGTGTCAATCAAACAGGGTGGCCTGACCCAAAACTATGGTCCATCGGTATAAGAATATGCCTGGGGATATTTTTTTGTCCTAATAATAGTGAAAGGAACCAAGGAAGTGGATGATAAAAGCATATGATAAGATGGTGGCAAGTGGCAACTACATCGCTTTACATTTTATCAGTCATGATCAAGAATAGATCATGCATAACACATGCCAAAATAACACTCCATTAATTATATAGGTCCCGAATTATAATCTAGATTTTAATTTAAATCAAAATTAATATTTTAATTTTAACAAAATATTTTTTGGGATCCATAACTTTTCAAACATACATTTCTTTAACGCTTATCAAAATCTACTGAAAATTCGATTTTAATCTCCACCAACAAACTTTTTCTTCTTTAATACGTTTATATTATAGCATAACCTAAGAAATTCTTTTATCGCTATTCGCCTACACTTTTATCAAGTAAGAAGTGAGTATTCACTGTCTCCAATTTCTCAACACAATTATCAACCAAAATATGATAATAATGAGTTTTGATTTCTGAAAAATTGATGGACCTTTTTTAAATGGGACGGTACAAAAAGCATAAAAATCTAGTCAGCAACGATGAAGAAAACCTAAGATCTTATCCATATTGGTTCAATTATTATTGCTAAAAAAAGACCACGTTAGTGGTCGAAGAATTTGTACTATAAAAACTCAGCCACAACGCGGCTACCCTCCGCCACAAACACAAGGAAATAGCATTCAGATCTACCTGTCTACCTCTCTACAGTTTTTTCTTCCATGGCTTGCTCTGTACAATTCTTTCTTGTTTTTTCACTTATTTTCCTCTTTAGTTTCTCGGTTTCTCAAGAACCCTTATTACCAAGAGCTGCTATTATTCCAGTGTCAAAAGATCCTTTAACTCTTCAGTACGTGACTCACGTTTTCCTGGGTGAAAGATTTGCCCCAGTTAAGCTTGTTGTTGATGTTAATGGTCCATTTCTGTGGGTTGATTGTGCTTCTATCCCTCTGTCTAAATCTCAAAATCCCATAAAAAGTTGCTCACTTGAGTGTTCAATGGCAAAATCCAGTGCTTGTACCATGTCTTTTGGCACCAAGAGCTGTACTCTTCAATCTGAAAATCCCATTACAAGAATGATTACATCAGGAAATTTGGCTGAAGATAGAATTTCTATGGAGTTTGAAGATGGGGTGAATTCAGGTTTTATGGCCTCTATTGATAACTTCTTGTTTTCATGTGCACCAAAATTGTTACTAAAAGGCCT